ACTAAGAGGCCCTTGAACTCTGCTTGGAAGAAACTGTGGCCAGAATTGTAGACAAAGGGGATTTTAAAAGGGGTTTTTGAGGCAAACCCTGGGGAATCTATCCCAATTGAGGAACCCATTGTGGCTTTGGGGAAGTCTTGGGGTTGAGGTTGGGGGGAGGATGTGGAAGATTTTGGTTTAGAGGACGAAAATTTGAAGAACAAACCCACTGAGAGCGGCTAATCATTTTGAACAGAAAGAGGCCAGCCCCGGGGGGAAAACTGCTTGGGAGGGGATGGGAAAAAATTGATGAAATTTGGGCCACACAAAGATTAAAGAAATGGGTACAATGGGGGAAAAAAAGGTAAAAATTTTAGGGAAATTGCAAATTCCCCTTTAAACACAGCTTTTTCCAAGCCGTTGCTGGCAAACTTAAAATGACAATTTGGGTGAACCACTTTAGAAAATTTCATAAAAAGGAACGGGGAGGAAAACGGGCCCCTCTATGGACATAACTTTGTGCGACTGAAGCCCCACGGACTCTCAAGCTGGCCCTATGGCATTAAAAGAAGTAACCCCAGAAAAGGACTTGCTATCAAGTCCAAATGGAAGGGGTTTTCCCCTTCTAAACAACTTCAACATTTCCCCCCTTTCCCCCCAAACCCCAATCCCATAAATTCATAAACCAATCTTCATTAAAGGTGTCAGGGTATTTATTGTTTTTAGAGTATTTAGGACCGTGTAAGTTTCTTCAGTTTGTGTGCATTAACCCTTTGACTGTCCCCGGGCCGATATATAGGGTTTTAAACAAAAGGAAAACCGGGTTTGACGTATATATACTAAAATTCTAGCGGCTTCAAATCAACAGGAGAAACGGGTAAGCCCCAGGGGTGAGAGAATGGATGTGTGGCCCCTGTGAAACCAAATTATAAAAAAAAATCCTTTGGGGGCATCAGTGCATAATGAGAAAAAAAAACTCCGACCTTTTTTTTTTTAAATTTAAAAATCCCGGGATTTGGGTCATTTTTTTTATAGTTTTTAAATGGTTGTACTCCGTTTTTTTGGTTTCTAAATTTGATAGAATGGAAAAATTTTTAATAGAAATAGAGGTAAATTTTGATTGATTTTACTATAAAAAGAACCGGGAAAAGGGAGCCAAAGTGGGAAAAATTTGGTTTGATTTTTCCCAATTTTTAAAAAAGTAAACACTTAAAGCCTTTGGGCCAATAAATGTCCAACTACCCTTTCTAATATGCACCCTGAATGGATTGATTTTTATTTATACAATTTTTTGCAGTAGTCTGCATAATGGGAAGTCTTCTATTTTTTTTTTTTTTTTTGAATAAAAATTCAAAATAAAAAGCAAGAGTAATATCAAGGGCCTGGAGACTTTAACTGATGAGCAAAGAAAATGTTATTTTAGGGGCCCAGGAATATCTGCGGGTTTTCCTTTCTGGACCTTTTTTTAAAATTGCCCATTTTTTTTTATTTTTCGTAAAATTGGGCCCCAAATTGAAAATTTCTGCCACTTTTATTAGGTAGTTAAAATCTGTAAATGGGCAGTTTCTTGTACTAAATCGATAGAAAAAATGGAGTTTCTAAAGAAATACTATGGTTTTGGGCAATGAAACAAGGGGAATTAGCCAAAAAATTGGGAAACCCCAAAGGGGCGAAATCACGGATTTGTAAACAGCGCCAAAGGTCGAAAAAATTCACGAGAGGCTTTAATTCAGTCATTTTTTCCATAAAATTTTTCTTTTTTTTTGGTTATTACAATGGGGAAAAAAGATTCCTATCATTTCGTAAAAAAATTTTTTTTTTTTTTTTTTTTAAAATTTTGCAACACTCAGGAATTTGGGGGTTTGGGCAGTCAGAGGGTTAAACTTTTAAAATTTATGTGGTAAGACTTTTTTTTTTTAACTTTTGGGGGGTTTGCATTTAAATTTAATTTTTATTTCTTTTATTTTTTTATGGGGAAAAATTTAAATTTGCCTTCCCCTTTAATTTTGGATACGAGGCTTAGGAACGGGTTAATATCGGATGCCGGGGGTCCCCCTTTTAAAATACAAAACACCCCTCTTGGGGTTTTTTTTTTTCTTTCTAATTCTCGGGTTTATTTCCCCCTTATTCCATGGGAAAATGGAAAAGAAAATTTTTCCCCTAAGCCCAAACGTGGGGCGTAAGAGGGGACTAAAAAGCCGGGAAAAAAGGGGGTAGTAAACCCCCCTTTCCCGTAAATATACTAATTTTAAAAAAGGGGAAACTTAAATTTTCTTCTTTTTGGGGCCCCCCCACCTCAGTGGGGTTGGGACGTTGAAAGAAGAATATGAAAAAGAGTGGATAGAGGACAATGTGGCAATTATATGGAATAGGTGGGAAGTTTCTAAAAGCTGGTAAGGGGTTTTTATGAGGAAAAGCCCAGGGGTCAGGTTGGGGGGTGGTTTGAAGAGAGGGAGGGCTACTTTTCCCGTAAAAGAGGTCATTGAACAGGGATGTGTAATGTCAACCCTGGTTGTTTAAAAATATTTAAAAGATGGGGTTGTAAAAGAAGTAAATGCTAGGGTTTTTTCAGGGGGGGTGGGATTAAATTATGGGGAATTTTAAAAAAAAAATGGGAAAAGACTTTTTGCTGTTCTGTGCTTACGGGGGATTTTTAAAGAAAAATTGCAAAGTTAGTGGGTGAGGGTTTGGGGGTGTGTGTAAAGGGAGAAAGTTGGGAAAAAGAACATAGAAAGAGAGTAAATGATGGGGGAAAAAAAATTTTTTTAAAAAAATTTTTTAAATTTTGATAAAAAAAAATTGGATATCAAATTGAGGGGGGTATGGAAGAATTGAATTTTTTTAGATATTTTGGGAAATTTTAGGTCGGCGGATGGATTTATGAAGGAGGTGGTTAATCGTAGAATTTTACAAGGGAAAAAAAAGGGGAGTGGTGCGTCGAGGTTTTATGCGAGACAAAAAAAAGTTATCTAAGGAGGCAAAGAAGGGGGAAAAAATGAAAATAAGTAGTACCAACACTCCCTTTTATGGGTGTGAAGCTTTGGGGGTTTTGAAAGCAGCAGGGAGGAGGGACTGGATGTCCTGTCTAAGGGGAACGTGTGGTGTAAATATTATGCAGAAAATTTTGGAGTGTGGGAAATTAGAAGGTGGAGTTAATTTAAAATATGTCCAAAAAAGGCTGAAGGGGGTTTTTTTGAGGTGGGGTTTTGGGCCCTTTAGGGGAGAATGGATCAAGCAAAATGACTTGGAGAGGTATAAAAACTGTAGGGGGAAGGGAAAGGGGGGGTAGGGGTTTGTCCTCAAAAATGCTGGAAGGAAGGTTTTTGGGGTGAGGGGCTTGGGGTTTCCCGCAGGCGTGCCCCGAGCGTGGGTTTGGAAAGGGGTGAAAGGTATTTGGGACCGACGATCTGTTTGAGTGTGAGCAGGGGAATATTTAGTGAAAGGGGTTCAGGGAAACCATTTATTTTTTTTATTGCCGGGCTTGAGTTCTGGAAATGGATGTTTTAAAAAGTCTGGGACTTTAAAGGAGGGGGTTTTTGGGGTGTTCTTTATATTTTAAATGGGTTTTAAACTGTTGGGTTCTGAGCACCCCTGGGGAAAAAAAGTTATTTTGTGAATGTGTTTTAATGATGAAAGTTTTTCCCTTTTTTGGGGGTTTTCCCCTTTATTTTGGGTCAACCCCCCGCCTCGGTGGGGGGGACGGCCGATTGTTGAAAAAAAAAATATTTATATTTTTTTTAACAAGTCAGCCATCCCCACCGAGGCAGGGGGACCCCAAAAAAAAAATACTTTCATCATTCAACACTTTCCCCCTCACCTTTACACAATCAGGTTTTTTCAAAGTGCTTTAGAAAAAACAACAGCTTAAAAAAGCAAAATACCTATAAAAAATGCACAACTATCCCTCCAAACTGCTAAATTTTAAAACCCCGGAAAACCCCCCTTTAGAGTGCAGGGGATTGTACTTCCCATTTTTTAGGGCAAAGGCCCGGCTTAAAAAAAATAACCGGTTTCCCCCGAATCCCTTCAATAAATATTAAACCCCAAGTGTTAAGTACAAAACGTACCTTAAAAACTTGCATGTTTATGAGAAAAAAAAACCAGAATCCACCAACATGTAAAACAATTTCAGGTTTCCGTTTTTAAAACTCACTTGGCAGGACAGTAGTACCTCCCCAGGCGATTGCTGGGCTACCAACCACTAGGTTTGAATTTTTTTAGAAGGGGGCAGAGACCTAAATGGGAGTTAGAGGCTGCAAAAGGGGTTTTAAAACTTATTAGGAAGGGAGCAATAGTATATTTCATTAAAAAACTTTTTAGTGGTTTTTTCCCAAAAAAAACCCAAATTTAATTTTAAACCCTTGGTCATCCTGAAAGGGGCCAAGAAACCCCTCCAGCAAGAGGAAGGGGTGTTTAAAAAATTTAAGACCCGAACCCCCCCCTCTTCAAAGGTAGGAAGAAAAAAGGGTTTTCAGGGGTTTTTTCCCCCAAGTTTTAAATAGCTATTTTTTTTTTTTTAAATTTTTGTAACCTTTCTCTTTAAAAAATTGAGGTTCTTAAAAAAGGCTTTCACAAAGGGTTTAAAAAAATTTCAAAAAAAAAAACAAAAAACCTTATTTTAATTTGGGGACAACTAAATTTTCCTGGATAACAAAATTAACTACAATGGGCCCTTTTTTTTAAAACTTTTTACAAACATTCAACACTTACACTTATTTAAGTTTTTTAACTCATTCCCTGCAACAAATTTACACTTATGATAGAAGAAGAAAAAAATGAAAATTAAAAGGGATTAAAAAAAAAATTTGGGGAAAGATTGCTAAAAATTTTTGGAATTTGCACAAAAAAAATTACAATGTTATCTTGTTCAAAACTTTCTAGCTATGTCCTTACATTTAAACGCAAACCCCTTTTCTTAATAAATAATATACTGTTTTCTGTTGTCACAAAATCCAAAAGGGAAACAATGGGGTTTTAAATTTTTAAAAATACGCACTATGAAATTTTTCATCATTCCCCCCATTCCCCCCCATACCACCCCTGCCGCCCCTACCACCCATTCCTCCCATTCCACCAGCTGGCTCCTCTTTAGGGATTTCTGTTATAACCACTTCTGCTGTGGTGAGAAGTGAAGCCACACCAGCAGCATCCGTCAGTGCTGATCGCACAACCTGTGAAGCATATGTAAAAACAAGTGAAATACACAAAAATGCTTAATTAAATTATCAGGGAAACAATTGCAACTGCAAGTAAATTCACTATAATTATTAAGTGTAAAGTACATATAATTTCTAGATTGCTTAGGGTGATTTATCAAAGTTGATTTTTAAATTATTAACAGACTCTTCTCTTCTTTTCACTTCCCCCCTGCAGTTCAGGCTTGGACTGAACATGATCCATCCAAAAAAATTTAAATTATCTTTTCTAATCCTTCCTTGCTCATTTCAATTTTACTTGGCATTAGGTTTTTTTTTTTTTAAGTAATGCAGAAAAAGACATCAAATGTTTGTTTACAAAACTACCACAGTACAGTATTGATGAATTATTTGACAATAGCTGTAGAAAAAGCTACAGCTAGATTTACACTACAGCAAATGTTAAAATATAAATCCAGACATTTGTAGGAAAAATTTGCATATGCAAATAATTTGAAGAAATCAATCCACATGTTAGGTACTGTACACATCCCAAAACAAACTAATATGAAAATACAGAACACTTGTTATAACATTAAATAACCACAATCCACCATATTTTGTCTTACCTTGGTAGGATCAATGATCCCTGCTTCGATGAGATTAACAAAAGTCCCAGCTGCTGCATCATAACCAGTATCGCCAGAAGCTTCCATTACTTTGTTGACAATTACCGCTGCATCTACACCAGCATTCTTGGCAATGGTAAGGCAAGGTGTCTGTATAGCTTTACGAATGATCTCTATGCCCATTTCCTGGTCCTTATTGGCAGGGGCAAGTTTGTCCAATGCTGGTATGCAACGTATCAGAGCAACACCACCTCCAGGAACAATACCCTCTTCAATAGCAGCTCTAGTTGCACAGAGGGCATCATTGACACGGTCTTTCTTCTCATTGACTTCCACCTCCGATGATCCTCCAACCTTAATTACGGCAACACCTTTAGAAAGTCTGGCCATTCTTTCTTGCATTTTCTCCTTTTCATATTCAGAGCTGCTCTCTTCTATCTGTTCTCTTATTTGTGTAACACGTCTTTCAATATCAGAAGTTTTGCCTTTTCCCTTCAAAAGTAATGTATCGTCCTTCGTGATCTGTACTTCTCCAACCATGCCCAGATCATGCAACTGTAAAAGATGAAACAAGTGATTATCAGTGAAAGTTTTTTTTTTTGCAAGTCATCCTGCTGACTTGAAAAAATAATGATCATTTAATGCATTAGATTAATTATTGTTAAAAGAGCATACAGATAAATGAAAAGTATGTTGATAAACTAGACACGAAGGGCTCAAATCAAACTTCAGGCCCTTCACAGCTCATATTTAGGCCTTGTGCATAATAAGAACAAACCCCCTTTTTGGGATGGGGGGGGGGAACAGGCCATGTACCTTAAATTTCAAATTACTATCCAATTTTTAGGATTTATTATAATCAAAAAGAAGCACTAAGCCACAAGGGCTATACAGCCCAATTTTTAGGAATAACCTGCAAGACGTTTTTCTGCAAAAACATTCTGTTCACTGGATGTTAACACACTTAATGTCCATGTCACAGTACTATAGGTTTGAGCTCAGGGTCTGTGCTGTAGAACTCTGTGATGAGCAGCAAGCGGTAGACTGGTAAATTTTGGGTCTAGATATGAGAGAATGGGTCTATGCCGAGTGTGAACCATATAAAAAAAAAAAATCCTGCCCCATGTAGTACACAATGAGAAGAGGGCGATTGTGAATTTGGTTTAACTCAAACTGTTCAAACATATTTCTACATTGTTACTGCTAGCAATGCAAACAGATAGTTTTATTTTTCATGCCTTCAAATTTGGCACGATTGGCCGGAGATGCCTGGTCAGTATAGAATGCTTAACACGCCGTGTGCAGTATTAAAAAAAAAATCTGGGACCGCTTAGTACCTTGTGGGAGCAACAGTTCAATTGAGCACCAGCTAGAGTAAATAGTGTGGCAAACACCAGGGATTCACCGATGCCATGTTGTATTAACACTACCCCTTCAAAAGGAAAGGGATGTTGACCCTGAGTTTAGTGGCTTTGAGATGGATGTGGCCACAAGTAGTTGAGGAAATATAATGGCTGACTGTCTGTCTCACAGGTACACATTAGTTATCATACATCATGTAAATTACCTAGGATAACCCAGAAAAATGCAGTGCTATACTGTGATTGTAGTTATAAGGCATAATAAGCATGACTGGGAAGCAATACACATTTTCACTTTATCAGGAATCAGACATGACGACTGCATCGCGTGCAATACCTATTGGTTCATGAGCAGCTGAGAGACAAGCACGCAGACAGACATGTTTATGTTTAACAGCAAAAACAAAGCCAAGGTTGAATGGAGCAGTGCAAGATCAAGCCTCATTCCACTGCACACTGCCAGGGTTAACTGATCATCTACTGTAATAACATGAGACAGAATACATTGTGTTTTCTGTATCTACCAAGTACAGAAATTTCTAAATAGAATGACAGCACAAACATATCAAGATGGTTTCCCATTACTGACTGAGTGATCCCCCTTGACAAAAGACAACCACCTTCCTGAAATCCTCATCCATGGTAAACTTTGTCAAGTACTACATTATTCATTTTTAAAAGAGTATAACACTTCTCGCCTATTTTCCAATCCTCAGTCAATGAACAAAGATGTTTTAAAAAAAGAGCAAAGGCCTATCCATAATGCACCTCTGCATTCCTATAAGCTGATGGGTAACCAGCAAAGTGATTTAATTATTCATCTGTCTCAAAGGTTTTACCATGACAGTCTTCATTCTGGCCATTACTTTTGAGAATGTCGATAGTAACCAGATTAGTAATACAATACATTAAGAGAACTCAAATTTAAAAACCTTGTCATGCAGCCTTAATTTTGTATTTATAGTTTCACAGGACCTAGGAACAACCCCACACCCTCCCTACATTAATCTGTAGAGATGACAGTACAGACAATTTAGAGTACTTTACTATTAACAAGTCCTAAAAGTTACTTGCACAAATTGCAAATTAAGTATATGCTAGGTACCATTTTGTCATAACTAAGGCTTCCTAATACTCAGCAGTCTTCAAATCTGGAAGGCCATCAAAAACCCCAGGTATTTTTTATTAACTACCCTTGCATGTATTTAGCAAAACTTTCCATTCTGAAGCTAAATTTTATTTAGTATATGTTTAAGTTGATAGTTCCTCTTGACTGTTTAAAAACTTTAAATCTCAAAACTTTAATAATTAAAGTTCAAAATTTTTGCATAAAAATTTCCTCTGCCAACCTACCAGTTCCATTGTAGAATTTGGTGTTAACAGTATAGTATGCTTATCAAACTAATAAATTTCCTGAGAAACAATCAGGACATTCATCACAATGCCTATATTTTATCAGGGAAAGTTAGAAATAACACTTCCAACATCATTTACTGAAACTAGAAGACATTTAGGTAAAACTCACTTGAACATCTTCAATCTTCACCATACTGGCCTCGTCATTAAAAACTATACCCCCAGTAGCTATAGCAATATCTTGTAGTGTATTTTTCCTGTTGTCTCCAAAGCCAGGAGCCTTGACAGCAGCTATCTGCAGGCCAATCTTCAGGCGATTAACAACAAGAGTGCTCAAAGCCTCTCCATCAACATCTTCAGCGATGATCACCAAAGGTTTCCTAAAATACAATACTGTATCAACATATTTGTGCAAACTAAAGTTAATGTTCTACTTATTACAGTCTAAAACAGGTTTCAAATGATAATGTATTTACCTCTGTGCATTGGCAAGTTCCAGTACTGGGATTATTGATTGGATTGATGAAATTTTCTTCTCTGAGGGAAATATTAATGCATCCTGAAATTTTGCCTGCACACATAAAAAACCGCCACACCACGATTCGTCGGTGGCCAGAACTGCCCTGTGGTTTGCCAGTGTTTACAAGCCAGCCAGTGTGTGCATCTAAGCATTTCATTCGGTACATTCCATATTTTTCACAGTGTTTGGGTGTTGTTTCTGCAAAATAAGTCACATGGGCCCCAAGAAAGCTTCAATGAAGCCTGCGGATAAAAAGGGTGCCTAGTTACTATGGAAATGAGAAAGAGTAATGCAAAGTAACAAAAGTGGTTGGCGTGTTCTTTGTGTCGGAGCTTGCCAGGTTGTATACAAAAGCCCAATCAACCATCGCTGCTATACTGGCCAAGAAAACGGCACATCAAGGAAGCTGTTTCTTGCAAAAGGTGCAGTCTGTTTTTCGAAACAGATCGCAGTGTTAGCTGTTGAGAAGAGACTTATTAATTGGTTTGGAATAAATGAAAAACAGATAGCAGGAGACTGCATCTCTCAAGTGATCATTATGTGAAAAGGCTAGGAAGTTGCATGACGATTTAATTCAAAAATGCCCTGCAATAGTGGTATTGTGACGTGAATTAAGGCAGCAAGGTTTGAGTTGAAAGATTTAAGAAATTGTAGTGGCATTCATAGTGATTAGGCATGGTGAGCTGCCAGTTCGGACCAAAAAAAGGCAGCTGAAAAACATGTTAAGGTATTCAGGGATTAATACTTTGAAGAATTTCTATACCTGAAAAGTGGTTTAATTGCGACAAAACAGGCATGTTTTGGAAGAAATTGCCAAGCTGGGACTACATTACTCAGAATTAAAGTCACTCCCAGGACATAAGCCTATGAAAGACAGGCTTACTCTGTTGAGATGTGTGCAATGTAGTGGTGATTGCAAAGTGAAGCCTTTATTGGTGATCGCTCGGAAATCCTAGAGCGTTCAGACAAAAACAATGGGCCATGCAAGGCCTGTAATTTGTGGTGTGCTGTGGAGGGCAAAAGTAAGGCATGGGCATCCTTCTATCAGTGTCCTATGATCCCTTTTTCCTAAGCCTAATAGGGACTTTTCTATGACTGGGTTACACCATACATTTGCCCCATGTGGAAAAATTACCTAACAAAAAGGAAATTAGACCTAAGTGCCTTGGTATGCAACTTTCTGGGGACACAAGCTTCATTAAGGTGCAATGGTTTTGCCTCCTATTACCAATTCTCCCTCAGCCCATGGACAGCAGGTCTTTCCAACTTCAAGAAACTGTCACAAAAGCTGTTTCATATCCTCAATTTGGGTAAACCTTTTAGGTAAGGCTTGGGAGGGAGTGATAAGAGGACTTGATTGGAACTCGCTTGGAAGAAACTGTGGCCAGAATGTTGTTAGACAAAAGGATTTTGAAGGGGTTTGAGGCTAACCCTGGGAATGTTTATGCCAATTGAGGAATCCATTGTAGGCATTGGGGAAGTCCTGGGGTTGGAGGTTAGCAGGTTAGTGGGGAGGATGTGGAAGAGTTGGTAGTGGGCGACAATGAGAAACTAACACTGGAGATGCTAGATCATCTTGAACAGCAAGAGGCCAGGAATGAGGAAACTGCTTCGGAGGGGGATAGAGAAAATTGATGAAAAGTGCTACATCAAAGATTAAAGAAATGTGTACAATGTGGACTCAAGGTTGAAAAATCTTTATGGATGCAAATTACCCTTACACAGCTATTGCAAGCCGTGCTGTGCGACTTACAATGCAATGTGTGACCACTAGAAAAAGTCATAAAGGAACGAGAGGTACAGGCACTCTATGGACATAGTTGTGCGTCTGAAGTCCATGACTCTCAAGCTGTACTAGGGCATTAAAGAAGTAACCCCAGAAAAGGACTTGCTAACCTCAAGTCCTAATGGAGGGGATTTCCCCTTTCTTAAAACAACTTAACACTTCCCCTCCTCCCATTCCCTTCCCATCATCATCACCTGATCTTCATTAAAGGTTGTATGTATTCTATTGTTAGTAGAGTACTACTGACCGTGTAAGTCTTCTTAGTTTGTGTGCATTAAACCCTTTGGACTGTCGCGGGCGTATATATACGCTTACGAGGGCGGCGGGTACCGGGTTTGACGTATATATACTCAAATTTCTAAGCGGCTTCAAATCAAGCAGGAGAAAGCTGGTAAGGCCCAATGTGAGAGAATGGATGTGTGGTCAGGAGACCATTATAAAAAAAATCTGGAGCACTCAGTGCATAATGAAGAAAAAAAAACTCGGACCATTTTTTTTTTAAATTAAAATGCCGACTTTGGGTTATTTTTCGTATTGTAATTTATGGTTGTACTCGTTTTCTTGGTCTTCAATTTGATAGAATGGGGAAAAATATTATAGGAAATAGTGGTGATTTTGATTGATTTTACTATAAAAAGAGCCTGAAATGGGGCTCAAAGTAGGGGTAATGTTTGATTGTTGGCCAATGTTCAAAAGTAGAACACATATGCCATTGTCCAAATAAATGTCCAACTGCCATTCTAATATGCAGTCATGAATGGATTGATGTTAATTTATACAAATTAATTGTCAGTTGTCTGCATAATAGTATGTCTTCTATTTTTTTTTTTTTTGAATAAAAATTCAAAAATAGCCAAAGCAAAGTTAATATCGAGGGGCCTGGAGACATGACGTATGAGCATAATGGGAAATGTTATTTTAGAGCAGGAAGACTGCAGTGGTTCTTCTGGCCTTATTTTGAAATTGTCATATTTTTTAGTTTTCGGAAATTGGGCCCAAATTGCAAATTTCTGGACCACATTATTAGGTAGTTGAAATTGTAAATGGGCAGTTTCTTGTACTCAATCGATAGAAAAAAAATGGTAGTTTCTAACAGAATTAGCTATGAGTTTGGGCAACTGAAACAATGGAATAGCCGAAAATAGGACTCAAAGTGGGCCGAAATCACGGATTTGTAAACAGCGCCGAGGTTCGCAAACTTACGAGAGCATAAGTCAGTCAGTTTTTCCATTCCAAATTTTCGTTTTTTTTTGGTGTTCAATACAATCGGGAAAAGATTCTCTATTCATTTCGTAAGAAATTTTTTTTTTTTTTTTTAAATTTTGCAACACCTCAGGATTTGGGGTTGCGACAGTCTAGAGGGTTAACTTAATTATTTCATGTGGTTTAAGACTTTTTTTTTTTCATACTTTTGGGTGTCTTGCATAGATTAATTTGATTTCTTTTATTTTCTTATGGGGAAAATTAATTCGCCTTCGATAATTTCGGCATACGACGAGCTCTCAGGAACGATTTTAATTCCGGATGCGGGGGGGGTCCACTGTTTCTATACACACACCCTCTGGGATTTTTCTATTTTCTTTCTAATTTCGTTTATTTCCTTTATCTCCATGGGAAGTGGAAACAGAAATTCGTCCTCTTAAGCCAAGCTGTCGTAAGAGGGGACTAAAATGCCGGAGGAACAAGGGGCTTGTAACCCCTTCTGTATATATTACTAAATTTAAAAGGAGATAACTTGAGAGAGTTTTTCTTTTGGGACCACCCACCTCAGTGGGATATGGTACGTTGAAAGAAAAAGAAGAAATATGACAGAGTGGATAGAGGAAGCAAATGTGGCAATTATATGAATAGGTGGTTAGTTATAAATGCTGTAAGGGGTTTTTTTGAGGATAGGAGGCTCAGGTTAGGGTGTGTCAGAAGAGAGGGAGGAGATACTTCCCAGTAAAAGTAGGTCATAGACTGGGATGTGTAATGTCACCATGGTTGTGTATATATTTTATAGATGGGGTTGTTAAAAGAAGTAAATGTAGGGTGTTCAGTGAGAGGGGTGGGATTAAATTATGGCCCGCAGCAGAAAATTAAATACAAAATGGGAATCGCTTTTGCTGATTCTGTGCTGTGGGGAGATTCTAAAGAAAAAATTGCAAAGGTTAGTGGATGAGTTTGGGGAGTGTGTGTAAAGGTAGAAAGTTGAAAGTGAAACATAGAAAGAGTGTAAGTTGATGAGGGTATCAAATGATTTAGATAAAGAAAAATTGGATATCAAAATTGAGGAGTATGGAAGAATTGTAATGTTTTCAAGATATTTGGGAGTAGACGTGGTCGGCGGATGGATTTATGAAGGAGCGTGGTTATAATCGTAGAATTGACAAGGGAAAAAAAGCGAGTGGTGCGTCGAGGGTATATGCGAGGACAAAAAAAACGTTATCTATGGAGGCAAAGAAAGGGAATATATGAAAGTATAGTAGTTTACCAAAACACTCTTTATGGGTGTGAAGCTTGGGTTGTGAATGCAGCAGGGAGGAGGCCACTGGAGATGTCCTGTCTACGGGCACGTTTTGTGGTGTAAATATTATGCAGAAAATTCGGAGTGTGGAAATTAGAAGGTGTGGAGTTAATAAAAGTATGTCAACAAGAAGGCCTGAAGAGGGTTGTGTGAGGTGGTTTGGCCATTTTTTAGAGAGAATGGATCAAAGCAAAATGACTTGGAGAGCGTTATAAATCTGTAGGGGAGGAAGGAGGGGTAGGGGGTCCGTCCTCAAAAATGCTGGAAGGGAAGGTGTTGTGGGTGAGGGGCTCTGGACTTCCAGCAGGCGTGCACGAGCGGTTCGAAAGGAGTGAATGGTATTTGGATCCTGACGATCTGTTTGTGTGTGAGCAGCGGTAATTTTAGTGAGGGATTCAGGGAAACCATTTATTTTTATATAGCCGGACTTGAGTTCTGGAAATGGGATAGATACAATGTTGCACTTTAACAGGAGGGGTATGTTGTGTATCTTTAATATGTATATGCCTTCTAAACTGTTGTGTTCTGAGCTACCTCTGCAAAAATAGTGATTATGTGATGTGTTGAATTGATGAAAGTATTTTCTTTTTGGGGGATTTTCCTTCATTTTGGGTACCCTGCCTCGGTGGGAGACGGCCGACTTGTTGATAAAAAAAATTATATGTGTTTTTAACAATGTCCGCCCATCTCCCACCGAGGACCAGGGTGACCCAAAGAAAAAAATAATACTTTCATCATTCAACACCTTTCACCTCATCT